GACACGGGGAAACTGGACCTCGGAGGGTTGACGTGACTGAGCCGAGCCTTACAGCCAGATGATGGCGGGTCTAGGATTTCAGCAGGCAGGATCCAGCCGTGTTCATGAGCTGTCTGCGGCAGAGGAGAGGAGACTTGAGTGGGGGTGAAGCAGTGCTGTCCCAGGAAACAAAGTGAGAGCCACAGGACGAATCACAGATGCCATTCTAACTTTTCTAGTAGCAACATTTTAAAGCTTTTGTTTACATAGGTTTTTAATTTGTTTTATTCTTTATTTTCGGCTGTGCTGGGTCTTCACTGCTGCATGCGGGCTTTCCCCAGCTGCGGCGAGCAGAGGCCACGCTCTGGTTGTGGGGTGGGGGCTTCTCACTGCAGTGGTTCCTCTTGTTGCAGAGCGTGAGCTCTAGGCACGTGGGCTCGGTAGTCGTGGCGTCCGGCCTTAGCTGCCCTGCAGCGGGTGGGACCTTCCCAGACACATGCCCTCGCTCCTGGCCTTGGCAGGCGGACACTTACTACTGGGCCACCAGAGAAGTCCCTACGTTTTTATTTTGTGCTGGAGTATATTGATTTACAATGTGCATTAGTTTCAGGTGTGCCGCAAAGTGATTCAATTACACATCTACACATATCCATTCTCTCTCAAATTCTTTTCCCATTTAGGTTATTACAGAGTGTTGAGCGGAGTTCCCTGTGCTATATAGCAGGTCCTTGTTGGTTAACCATTTCAGATACAGCCGTGTGTCTATGTCAATCCCAAACTCCTAATTTATTCCGCCCCTACCTTTCCCCTTTGGTAACGATGCGTTTGTTTTCTAAGTCTTGAGACTATTTCTATTTTGTAAATAAGTTCATTTGTATCAATTTTCTAGATTCCACACATAAGTGATACCATATAATATTTGTCTTTCTCTGACTTTCTTCACTTAGCACGAAAATCTCTAGGTCCATCCATGTTAGTAGCAACCTTTTGGGAAAACAAAAAAAGAAAGAAAAATGAAAGCTATTTTTAATAATTATCTTATTTAACCCAGTATACCCAAAATTTTTTCATTTCAACATGTATCAGGGTAAATAATTATTAGAGCATTTACATGTCTTTTCACATAAAGTCTTTGAAATCTGGCGAGTATTTTATACATCTCAATTTAGGTTATCCATATTCCAGGTGTTCAATTCTACTTGGGTCTGGTGGGTACTGGGTGGTGTCTGTGTGTGTGTGTGTGTGTGTGTGTGAGTGTGTGCGCACGCTCAGTCAGTCGTGTCTGACTCTTTGTGACCCCATGGACTGCAGCCCACCAGGCTCCTCTGTCCATGGGAATTTCCAGGCAAGAACACTGGAGGGGGCTGCCATTCCCTTCTCCAGGGGATCTTCCTGACCCAGGGATCGAACCTGTGCCCCCTGCATTTCAGGCAGATCTTTACCACTGCTTCACCTGGGAAGCCCACCAGAGTGGTATAACTCAAGACTAAAGACTCTCTCTGTCACCCTTAGGCACCTAATAGCCAGGCTGCACTTATTCCTACCCGGAAAGACCCCCACCGTCCAATCCAGAGCCTCCTTTCAGGTGGCAGTCAGTCACTGGGGTGCCTGAGTCTCCCCCCGACTCAGCCATGGGGGAAGAGGCAGCATTATCACTAGCCTCACCAGCTTCAGATGCCTTCTGCCCCGAGGACGAGCACCCGGATTCCCCGGTCCTGTCGTGTAGAACCGGATCTCCGTTTGCCCGGGGCTGGGCGACCGGTCCCGTGGGTTCACCCTGCGCCTCTCCTCCTGGAGTGGGTCCAGCCCGCTGAGCCAGGGCAGGGCGATGAGTAACCCAGGAGCTCCAGAACAGTTGTCTTCCCGGCCAGCCTTTGAATCACCCGATCCGCCCTGGGAGCAGATCACGCTGGGGAAATCGGTTCTGCCCAACCAACCAGGGCTCCCCGCCAGCGTGTCTCATCTGGTCCCTCTTTTCCTTCTTGGCTCCGGGACAGCCAGGCGCTTGGCAGAGGGAGCTGGAGTTTTCTGGAATCATTTCTGCAGGAAATTTGGCAGAAGCGGATCAGCCGCACCACGTGGCTTCCATTCTCTCAAGGTTTAGTTCATCGGATCATGGGTTTTTTTTTCCCCTCCTTTCTCTTTCATTTGCAAAAAAGTTCTGACCATTAAAACAGAGGATAACTCAGGAAGCTGGAGGGTGCTTTAAATGGAATGAAAAATACAAAGGAGACTCTGGTTATGGTGTGTGGTCAGCTTCTCCCTAGACTGAAGCTGGTCTCTCCACCTGAATCTTGGCCCAGAAAATTCTACCATCTCTGCTTCCAGACCCCTCTGCCCAAGGTATAGGCAGAGACTTGGATACACTGGGGCAAGATGTGTAATTCTTGGGAGAGAAAGTACTCCAATACTAGAGGGACTCTAATGTTGGAAACAAAACACAACAATGGAGTTAATTAGCATCTCATGGCTCATGAACCCCCTCCTCCAGGGGTCCTCCTTGATTTAAATCAGAGGGAACAGCTCCCACCGAGTGACCCCAGACCAGTGTCTCTGAGCTTCTCCCTTGGCTCTGGGAGCAGGAACCGCTGAGCCTGGGATGGGCTTCCTGCTCACAGGACCCGGGGGGCTCACCTCCCTGCCTGCCCTCACCTCTGCCCCTCACTGCTCTTCAGTTCAGTTCAGTTGCTCAGTCGCGTCCGACTCTTTGCGACACCACGGACTGCAGCACACCAGGCCTCCCTGTCCATCACCAACTCCCGGAGCTTACCCAAACTCATATCCATTGAGTTAGCGATGCCATCCAACCATCTCATTCTGTCGTCCCCTTCTCCTCCTGCCTGAAAGACCCAGGATGGGGGTCTTTTCAAATGAGTCAGCTCTTTGCACCAGGTGGCCAAAGTATTGGAGTTTCAGCTTCAACATCAGTCCTCCCAGTGAATATTCAGGACCGAACATTCAGGACCCATTGCTGTATCCAGACCTTAACCCTTCAGGCTCACGCTGGGCTGGGCTGGGTGTTTTCCCCACAGCCTTTTAGTGAGTCTGGACTTTTTAAAAATGTACTATTCTTTTTTGTTGAAGTATAGTCAGTTTACAAGTTTGTGTTAGTTTCAAGTGTATAATAAAGGGATTCGGTTATATGTTTACACATATCCATTCTTTTTTAGATTATTTTCCCATATAGGCATATAGGTTATCACAAGATATTGAGTACAGTTCCCTATGCTCGACAGTAGATCCCTGTTGATTACGTACTTTACATTTAATAGCGTGTGTATGTTAATCCCAAACTCCTGATTTATCCGTCCTCCTGCCTTCAACTTTGGTGACCATAGGTGTGTCTCCTGCATCTGTGGCTCTATTTCTGGTTTGTAAATAAGTTCGTCTGTGTCTTTTTTTTCAGATTCCATGTGTAAGTGATGTAAAATGGCACAAGTCTCCCTCTGGCTGACTTCACTTAGTGTGACAGTCTAGATCTACCCATGTGGCTGCCAGTGGAACGCCTTTACTCTTTTTATGGCTGAGTAGTGTTCCACTGTATATACGTACCACATTTTCTTTATCCATTCATCTGTCACTGGGCATTCAGGTTGCTCCCATGTCTTGACTAGGGTAAAGAGTGCTTCTCTGAACATCGGGGTGCATGTATCTAAATTTAAAACTACCATATGACCCGGCAAGCCCACTCTTGCACATGTATCCAGAGAAAACCGTAGCTGGAAAGATACATGAGCCTGGACTTTTCGGCCCAAGCTCTCCCAGCCTGACCCTGGGAAGGGCATTTCCCACCTCACCCGGCCATTATTTCTCTCTGTCTGTGAACCTGACACCTCCCAGACGTCCTGCACCCTTAGAAACCACCCTGCTGGGCAGGCATAAGAATCCCCATTTTACAAATGAAGACCCTGAGATTCCAAGAGGTTAAGCTATATCTCTGAGGTTGAACCTATGTGAGAGGCCATCCTGAGGCTCCAGCCCAGATCCTCCTTGCCCTAGAGCCCCGGGTCAGGCATTTCCCTCTTCGCCCCCCAACCCCCTCAGGCCAAAAGATGAGGATGCTGCTGCTTCCAGGGACAGCGGGGACCCCCAGAAGCAGCTTTGTGACTGCTTACATTTTGCAAAGATGGACAACTATCTAAGTATAATCCAGAGGCTCCATGCAGGTGGAAGGGGTCTCCTCTGTGGGACCTGTTCATTCCACACACGAACCCTGACTTAAGCTGAGGAGCCCTGGGGGCCGGTTTAGGAGCAGGGCAATATTGCATGTATCTGACCGACTCCTCTCGGAAACCCTCTGGAGGTGCGGGGAGGGCGCGAAGGACCCGCTCACAAGCGGCAGCATCTCACGACCTGACTGCGGGTCATGGCCCCGCTCTCTCCAGTGCCTGGGGACCTGACCGTGGGCCTCGCCACAGCACCTCTCCCAAGCATGGCAGCCTGCCTTCCTCCCAACCAGGGCTCCGAGAGACGGAGGAGCGGGTGAAGAGGGAGCTGGAAACCTTCTAACCGCATCTCAAAGTGGGTCCTGCTACCTTCTGTTTCCTGGAAGCCCGTGCACCACAGCCAGAGAGTAGCCCCTGCTCGACGCAACTAGAGAAAAGCCCGCTGGCAGCAAGGAAGACCCACAGAGCCAAAAGTAAATCAATAAGCTCAAATAAATCACATTTCAAAATAGAGCGATCCTGAGACCGGTAGCACATAAAATCTCTGTGCGTGCATGCAGAGTCATTTCAGCCGTGTCCGACTCTCTGTGACCCCGTGGACTGCAGCCCCCCAGGCTCCTCTGTCCATGGGGTTCTCCAGGCAAGGATACGGAGTGGGGTGCCATGCCTTCCTCCAGGGGATCTTCCCGACCCAGGGACTGAATCCGCATCTCTGATGTCTCCTGCACTGGCAGGCGGGTTCTTTACCACTAGCGCCTCCTGGGAAGCCCAGAAAATCTCTAGCAGATGTCAAAAACTCTCCCGGCCTCCAAACTCTCTACCTCTGCCATCCAAAGTGCCACCAGAAGGCACTTGCTAACACGTAAAATCAAGGGCCCCTTGCTGGGACCCTCCCGTTCCCCGGCTGCTCTCCCAGGACCCGAGGCCGGCCGCGCCCCCACGGGCCTCCTGGACCGTCCACACCCACGTTTCTGCCGCGAGGTCCGGCCGAACCTGGCCCGTCCCCTGGGTCTCAGGCCGGCTCCCGATGGGACTCGACACACTGCAGGGAAAGACGCCGCAGGTCAGGGTCTGGGCCCCCCACTCGTCTGACCTTCTAGTCACTGCCGCAGAGGGCTTGAAAGGCAAGAAGGAAGAGGAAGGAAGAGATAAACGGGCCGTCCAGGGGCGGGGTGTGAGATTCACTAAAGCAGAGAGCGGGGCTTCCTCCGGCCACTCCATTCTGGGTCTTCAGGCGGGCGTCTCTTTCTTTGCAAAACACCCCACAGCAGACAGTGGCTCTGGCTGGGACCCCGGGTCCTCCTGAAAGGCCACCAGAAAGTGAAAGCCTGAATCTGCACACCTGCTTAGCCAAACACATCCTTTCTCTCTGGCGACTGTCGAAAGACCGCGTGCTAATTCAAAAATAACTCAGCTCTGTGAGAACCGAACATGCCGGCACCCCACTACGGGGGAAGACTCCTGAAGCCCGATGTCCGGGGGCTGTGTCTTCAGAAGGAGCCTCTCCGCCGGGGCGGAGTGGGATCGGAAGGGAGGCGAAGAGAACCGAATGCTGTTCCCCGCCACCCCCTCACCTTCCCCCTCTGTGTCCTCCGCTGGCCTGCCTTCGCCGTCCCCTCTGGGCAGCTTTGCAGTGTTTCTTGCCAAAACCTTTTTTTTTTTTAAATGAAGACACCCCCACCCTCCAATTTTTTTAAACTATTTATTGATTTATTTTTGGCTGTGCTGTCTTCATTGCAGCTCGGGCTTTTCTCGGGTTGCCTGTGCGGGCTCCTCATTGGGGGGCTTCTCCTCTTTGCAGCCGGGCTCTAGGATGAACGGGCCTCAGTAGCTGTGGCCCACGGGTTTACTGCCCCTCCTGGCTTGTGGGATCTTCTCGGACCAGGGAGCGAACCCGTGTCCCCTGCGTTGGCAGGCGGATTCTTGGCCACCCCACTTCTGGGTAAAATTTTAGGCGGAACCTTAGCCCTGCTTTTTGCATCTGACCACAAGTCCTGTGTGGAGGACCGCCGTCTGGGACACACCCCAGTCCCGGTGGGGTCAGCGGCCCTCAGCCTGTTTTCCTGCCCGGCCGTTCTTGCGGAAAGTGTCTCGTTCTTGCCTTCCCACCAGTGTCCTCAGCTATGGCAAGCAAATGAGACGGCCATGGAATCCCCTCGAGTATATTTTCTAAAAGATAAACAGCCAGTCGTCTGACAAGGGTGGCTTTAGCCACCATTAGTAGTAAGTGGCTTGATATCTGATGAACCCCAGTGCATCCCTGCATTCCAAGTCAGAGGGCTCTTCAACTTGCGCGTGCTTCTGAGACACCTTTGAAAATGTGCTTTAATCTGTGCTTTGGGGAAGATGTTCAGGTCTTGTTGCGGCGAGACTTACCTTTAAAACGACTTTTTTTTTTTTTGCGATTTTAGTGCAAGTTGAATAGATGGCGCGCTTCCTTACGGCAGAGCGCAGTGTAGAACAGGGCACAAGGATGCGGTTTTTTGAAATTCTTTATTTTGGGGCTGTGCGGGGTCTTCGTTGCTGTGCGAGCTTTTCTCTAGTTGCGGGGAGTCAGGGCTCCGCTCCAGTTGCGGCGCAAGGCCTTCCCATCGCGGTGGCTTCTCTGGGTGTGGAGCACCAGCTCTGGGGAGCACGGGCCTCAGTAGTTGCTCACACAGGCTTAGGTGCCCCTTGGCACATGGGGTCTTCCTGGATTGGGGATTGAACCCACGTCCCCTGCATTGGCAGGCGGATTCTTCACCACTGAGTCCAGTGTGAGTTATTTAATAAGACAAATCAGAGAGTAGACTGGGGTAGGCTGGGTGGAATGGCATCGGGGGTGAGGGCGGGGGTGCCCAACTACCTCCCATCACCATCTCTGCGTGTTCCCCCCATCCGCAGGATAACGCCTGACACACGGTAGGCGCTCAGTAAATGCTTACTGAACTGAATTGCTTGTCTGGTGGCTGAGCCCATGAAGCAGATGTAGAAAGAAATTGCCCTGCTCTGAAACCTCCCTTTGGATTTTAGCCCAAACTCTATTTCAGCAAATACTGTTAGGATCAGAGATACACTTACTCACAGGAAAAAATAAAATGGAAAGTCAGTCTTTTTTCTCCATCGTGTTAAAAAAAAGAGTTTTTGAAATCATCCTCTGCCATTTCTCATCCATCAGACTTACATTAACATGATATGTTGCTGTGAAAATGCTTCCCTTAAACACATCAAATGGATTAATGCTGGCACTTTATCAGGTACAATTTCTGTTTCCATAAAACATCTTTAGACACATAAAACCTACTTCAGTGAGAAGTAGAAAAGCCTTCTCCTCGCCCGTCATCCAGGCGACTCCGTGGGGGAAGCCGACATTTCCGGAGGCTCCGGCCTTGCCCGCCTCCAGCCGGAGCTGCTGCTTTGCGGAGGGGCCGGCTCCTCCCTGGGGACCCTCCTCCTCATGGGTGACCCCAGCCGACTGAGCCGACCAGGTGGGGGACAGGAGGGAGTCAGAGAGGAGGCAGAGGCTGAGCCCGTCCAGCTCGGGGCCGAAGAGCTGGGAAGAGCATCCCGACTCCGACCTTGGAGTCGGTGAAGACGGAAGACAAAGCTCACTTGGGGTCGTAACGCTGGCCCCTAGAGACGCAGCCTGGCGCACCTGTGCGAGCCACTGTTTCCCAGGCCGCTCTCTCCCTCTCCACCCGTTCTTCACTCTTGGCCTCCGATGCGCACGGAACACACGAGGCTCATGACTCTCCCATGGTGTGGTCATTGGGCCGAAAACAGCCCCTGGGAGCTGGTTGGAAATACCCTTCCTCCATCCTCCCGTCGAAGACCAACAACTAGCAATCTGGGGGTGATGCACAGCCCTTCAAGTCCACGTCTGAGAACCACAGCGTCTGGCAAGTCCTGGGGAGGGAGGCTGCGCTCGTCCCCTTTCAGCGGGCAAGGATTCCTCCAGGTTTCCTCCTCACGGTCCTCACCCGCAGAGGACTAAGCTCGGGAGGGACAGCCCCACAGGTCCTCAAGGCGACACAGAAAACCTTTATGGAGAGCCTGCGTGGACACTGTCACTGTGCCCTGCTTCTGTCCCCTCCAAACAGTCCTGTCGGGCTGATGTTCCTCCACTGTTATGACCCTGTTCTGTGCCCCCCAAATTCTTATGATGAAGCCCTCACCCCCCATGCTCCAGAAAGGGACTGTGTTTGGAGATGGGCTTTGAGAGAGTTGAATGAGGCCTCTGGGGTGGCCCTAGTGCAGTCTGCCTGGTGTCCTTCTTAGACGAGGGGCTGAGTGCGCAGAGAAACACCAGGGGCGTGTGCACACGCAGTGGGGACCCCCTGAGGGGAGGCGACTGTTCCCTCCAGGAGTCGGACCCAAGGTGTCTGTACTGCCGGGCGGACTCCTCGCCACTGGGTCACTTGGGAAGCCCACGATGTGAGAATTACATCTTAATAAGGCTGTGATTTAAAAAAAAAAAGCCTGGTAGTGCGTAGCGTGCGCCCATTTGCTTTTAGAGTTCACACATACAAGTGTAGAGACGCATCTCGCTGGGCATCTGGAAGGGCTCCAAGGAACTGAGGCCACTCTAGTGGGCAGGGGGGCACGGGGGGAGGTTAGGAGTAATGGGGGGTCTTTTCACTGTAATCTGTGAATGCATTTGATTTTTTAAAATTGTGTTCCTGTATTTCCTCCTCAATCAATGAAGGTAAGTCTCTTGCAAAGCAGAGGAAGGGAAAAGGGGAGAACAGAGGGTTTCTTGAGTGATGATACGTGGGCTGGGAAGATCCCCTGGAGAAGGAAACGGCAACCCGCTTCAGTAATCTTGCCTGGGAAATCCCGTGGACAGAGAAGCCTGACAGGCTACAGTCCGTGGAGTCGAAAAGTCAGACACGACTCAGTGACTGATGCACGCGTGCAACAAAGTCCTGCGGGAACTGTCTCCAGATGAAACCGGCTGAGTGCCTTCAAAGGTAAAAACATCTCGAGCGCTCCTAAAGCCCCTCGCTGAAAGGTGACTCGCTACATCTCTGCCGCATTTTCTCCGGAGCCTGTCCTGCCAGCCGGCAGGTGGTCCCGGCAGGGCAGTGACTTAACTCCGTAGGCAGCATCCTCTGCCCCGAGAACCAGCAAGGGGGCTCCCTGACAGTCATGGGAATCCCGCCAGGTCACCAAAGCAGTTCCCTTGAAAACTAACTGCCTCTCACCAGTCCTTACCCCCAGGACCATAAATGGGTGTTTAATTACAAAGCAGGTGGAAAAACTTCAGAATGAGGGTTCAGGCATTCCACGGTGTGTTTCACTTCTCTGCAGAAGAACTGCTAGGTTACACTGCAGATGGTCTACTCTCAGGGCAGTTTACACCCCCTCCAGTGGGCTGTTAGACTCTAATACAAAACTTTTTGAGAAAGCAATGTCTCTGCAGATGTACAGAATTATGCCCATTTTATGGATAAGGAAGTCGAGGCTCGGGCAGGCTGACTTGGCTGGAGTCACAGTGGTAAGGCCGGATTCATACTGAAGAATCTCTCTGGAACCTCTGTTTTTTAAATTAGTGTATAATTGCTTTACAGTGTGGTGTTAACTTCTGTCATACAATAACTCCCATCAGTGATAACCATAATACACATCCCGTCCCTCTTGAGCTTCCCTTCCACCTCCCCATTCCACCCCCCTGAGCTTCAGCCTCAGTGTTTCTCACTGTATCTTGCTGTCCGGATTGCCTTATGAAGGATAATGCTGGATGTCTCCAGCTCCATAGAACACAGAGACGGGTTTAGCCTGTGACAGCTGGTTTACCTACTGTCTTAGTCTACTTCATGCTGTAGTCGGAAAAAACCACTACAGACTGGGGCTCACAAATACAGCATTCTGCCCCGACCTCCACATTCATGCTCATGTTGCCTATGAAATATTTCCATTCCATCCCAGTGGTTCCCAAAGTCTTAAGTCCTCCCAGAAAGATCTCAGAAGTCCAAGTTCCATCTAAATATCACCTAGATTAGATCCAGGGGAGGTTTAAGGCGCAATTTATGCAGAGGTAAGCTCCTCTGCAGCTGTGAAGGCATGAAATCAAACTAGTCATGTGCTTTTGAAACACGGTCACGGATCAGGCACAGGGTAGACCTTCCTGCCAGGCTCAACCTGGCCCCTCACAGCTTGAGGGGCCTTGCACCCACAGGCAAGAGGAGGGAGACTGTCTCTCCAGCTCCCCTCTCCTCTCCCACGTCCTCACCAGAATCACCCTTCACGGTCCATTCCCAGCATGAGGCTCTTTCTAGCAGTCACCTCCAAACTCTCCCAGCCTCCACCCATGACCCGCTGCCACACTTCAGGTGTTTGTGAGGGCGGCACACCACTTCTCCTTACCAATTTCTCGCTCTGAGCAGGCTGCTGTAACCAAATACCACAGACTGGGAAGCTTATAAACAGAAACGTATTTCTCACAGTGCTCGAGGCTGGGAAATTCAAGGTCAAAGTGCTGGCAGATTGTGTCCGGTTCATAGATGGCCGTCTTTTCACTAGCTCTTCACATGACGGATGGCGAGAACCCTCTTGGGGGCCTCTTTGATGAGGGCACTGATCCCACTCACGGGTGCCCTGCACTCATGACATCATCACCTCCCAAAAGCCCCACCTCCAAATACCATCACACTGGAGGTTACAGTCCAGCTTATGAATTTGTGGATACACAGGCATTCAGTCTAGAACACCTAGGTATGGTGACAAAGAGTCTCCTGATGGTGGGAACACCTGCTGGAGACTTGTACCAATCAGAGACTGAAAAAGTCAGAGGCCCACAGATCTGGTAACATTGCTCTGTCCACAACCTTCCACACAATTGATGTTCACTTCATTTGCTCCCTGCCCAGGACCACCCATCAACCCCACTTCCCTTCTGTTAATCTGAGAAACTTCTTCATATCACTATTGGTTGCATAAGTCCATTTTGAAGCCTTATCTTTCCATATGGTTTTTTATTCTGTTAGTGATGCAAGTTTGTTTGAGAAGTGACCAGCTCGAAAAAGTTGTGGTCAAAAATCAATTCTATTATTTCACTAACATTTTGTGGGTTATTACATTCAATAGTTACACTTGACACACCTATAAAGACTTCTAATTTTCATGAAACATTGTCTTCGATTCACTCTTTTGCAGAAGCAAAAGAGCATTCTCCATCACTGTGTGAATCTCATATTTACTTTCCCTATAAGAATCAATCACTAAGGTTTTTTTGTCTTTTTGTTGGTCTAATATCCACATTATCTGAACAGGAACTATATTCTGAAGAACTATAATCTTCTGAAACACTAGTATATATGTCACTTGGATAATCAGAGGAAGTAGCTGAATAAAATTCAACAACAACAAAAAAAATCTCCTTTACTCAACATTTCACAATGCATCACTTTTGAAATTTTTATGTTTATAATATACACAAAATTGGAACAAAAATCTAACAGAGCAAAATATGAATGATAATAACAATTGTAAGTTGTATAATGAACCCTTGATCAATTTTAAGCTCTAACAGTTTCATATGGTGATTTTACTTGTATCACTCTCTGAGAACGTACTGATAGTCTCCAGTTAATAATGGTCAGTAATGAGTTAAGAAAACAATAGCTGGGCTTTCACAGGACACGCATCCATCATAGGAGCTCACAGTGAAGTTCAAGGGTGGAAACTCAGCCCAACCTAACCCACCACATTCCCTCTCCCAGAACTTGAAATGTGAGTGAAGACACCCAGTTTTCCAAAGTGGCTGGAATTGTGGGAGAAGGACTAAAAAGTCCTACGGCAGTGACCATTCTCTCCCTTGCTGAGACTGTTTCCTTGACTTTTACAAAAGCTACCCCTCTTTTGTATTTAAGCAAGTCAGAAGGGATTTCTGTTGCTTGCAAGCAACTCCCAAATAATATAGAAAGCCATACTCTAGTGGTCAAGCAAACAGAAAAAGTAATCAGCATTTAATTACACAGTGTGAAGTGCCGTGACAGAAGGGAGATAAACCTGGAGAGACCAACAGTGGAGACCAGCTGCAGAGCGGGAGGTCAGGGAGAAGACCCTTTGGGGAGACTATCCTTAAGTTGAAAGCTTAAAGACGAAGTCAGCCGTTTGAAGAGTGGACGTGCAGGCTGAGGGAAAGCGTGTGCACCCCCCCAGGAGAGGTGGGCTAGGTGCAGGGAGGTGAGACTTATTCTCTGAATTGAGTCCAGAGCAGTTTTCTTCCTCTTGGTTAAAGTGAATGCCTATAGGTTTTGACTCTTGAAAACCAGCATACTACATCTTAGCATTCAGGTGTGTGTGCATGTGTGTGTGTGTATTGGACCCACTCCCTGATGGCTGATGGCTCAGGTAAAGAAGTCGCCTGCAATGTGGGAGACCTGGGTTAGATCCCCAGGTTGGGAAGATCCCCTGGAGAAGGGAAAGGCTACCCACTCCAGTATTCTGGCCTGGAGAAAATTCCATGGGGTCACAAAGAGTCGGACACAACTGAGCGACTTTCATTTTCACTTGGGAACAGGCAGTTTTATTCTGCATATTATATGACTTTAGCACCTGCCTACAAGAACCTCTGCTGGGCCAACAGCTTGATTTCTTCAGGATTCACCTGGATATGTCAGATCATAGAAGATACGTCCTGGGTTTTGGCAGATCCTTTCCAGTCGGGCACATAGGGGATGTGCATGCAGTGGACGGTGGAGGGGGGTGGAGATGAGTGGAGGTGTTGACTGCAGAGAGCTGTCGTACCTGCGATCTCTGCCCACT